CAGAAGCAGAGCTCCCGAAATTCGGTTCAGCAGCAAAATATGCAGGTAGGTTAGATATTCCAATTTCCCCAAGCTCACCATGATGCTGGCTCGTAACTTGGTTTACTGCATTTGAAGCAATTAAAAATTTTAAAACTAGATTTCTTATTGTCAATGAGCAGCATATCAAGCACATTTGGACATTAGCATTTGTTCACTTATCATCCATGCATGATACTGGCCCCTAACTTGGTTTACTGCATTTGAAGCATTTAAAATTTTGGAAACCAGAATGATTATTGTCGATGAGCAGCATATCAAGCAGATTTGGACATGAACTTTTGTTTACTAATCATCCAAGCTACACATTTTATCTTCAAAATTCTTCCCACCATTCACCATTATAGCAAGAGTATACTCTTAAGGTCTACAATCCTAACCTGAAGACTTCTCTTAACCCAGAAGATGAGCACATTCCTGCTACTAAATATAGAGTTGACGTGATGTAACAGGTAGAAAGGGTAGAAAGGAACACACCAGGGACGAGATTCTCAGTGTTTGTAAAGTTCTGATTGGTATGAGTATCAAGTCCAGAATAAGTTCTTCCATAGCTTCCATCTGCAGCACTTACTCTCCCAGCCATTGCCATTTCTGAGTTATCGAATACACTAGATGATCCAGAAGGAGAATACAAATGCTGACCATAACCATGGAACTGGGGTTGAAATGAGTTGCCGAAAGGTGTTTGTGGTATAACAAGGTTGTTCATCATCAGAGCACCTACATTTTGGTTAGAACCCGTATACTGATAAACATGCTGTGATGAAGGAGACAAATTCCATTGAAGAGATTGAGGACTATTTGCCCAGGTCATTACTGGCTGCAGAGGCAGAAAAGCTAGTTGACGGTCAGCAGCTGGACGGATCAACTCGGTGTTTAATCCAGCAGATACGAACAATGTCCCAATTTCTGATGCACTCGGTAGAAGAGCTCTAGATGGTGATCCAAAAAGTGTATACTCCGGACTACAACCTCCGAAATATGGTGGAAATGAGTTGTTGAATGATGTTTGTGGCAGAACATGGTTGTTTATCATCAGAGCACCTCCATTTGGGCTAGTTGCAGGATGCTGATAGGTATGCTGCGGTGAAAATGGCAAACCAGTTCCCTGACCCTGCCACTGAACGGATTCAAGATTATTTTCCCTGATCAACTCATTGCTAGGATGCTGGTCCCTCCCAGTAGAATCACTCAAACCCCTCACAAGTCGAGATGCAAAGGCAGTTTTCATGGATGGATCAGTCTTTGACAGGACAGATTTCGGCGAGTCTCCTTCAGTATTTCTTTTCTGCACATCTCTTTTAGTTAATGAGGAGATGGCATGACTGAAAGTAGATATTGTAGGATTATCCATGCGTGCTGCACAATTCACATAAGATGCAGACACTTCCTTCTTCAATGCAGATGAACCAACTTGACTTGAAGCCTCTGCTAACGCCCTCCCTGAATTTGATCTTGTTTCCCGAGACATCCAAGCTCTGATGACAAGTTAAAGCAAACAAGTCAATGAAATTCATCACCAAGAGAGAACATCTCAGACTGAAACCAATAACTTACTTATCATTCTCCTTCGGTGGATATCTGCTGTAGGATCTGGCGAGCGGATACTTTACGGGCCCTCTCCCTCTCACAATTCTTGATGATTTCTGATGTTGCATCAAGGAAATGGTTTGTATCAGAATCGGTCTTGAAGTATTCTCCACAGTAACAACAAATGTAAATTATAAGTAGCACAAATTGCAAAACTAGTCATCCGGAAATGTTCATATCCTGCAACCACACCATAGACATAGTTGCAAGACATAAGAAACGAAGATTCAGCTGGTGCACACGACTCTGACATGGTCCATAACCTTCTTGTCATCACATTCCTGTATTTGTTCGAACTTATCATGCTGCCATTTTCCTTCGTCGTGGAGTTCAATCAATCTTCTGAACCCATAGTTTTGCCTGGACGAATAGGAATCTAGTTAAGTACAAGTTCAACCACAAGAGTTTGAAGAGAGCAAAGCCAAATACATGTCACCTGAACATTCAATTCTGAATGATTCAACAGGTTTCACAGTATAAGAAACGCCACTAGCTGCATTCCAAAGGATGCATTATTGTTGGTTTGACACTTGACGTGAACAGAATATAAACAAGAACACAAACATCCAACAACAATCTCCAAAAGTAGTGGTTAAAATGAGCTGTTAAGCAGCTGAATGACCACATTTTCTGTTTCCATGCCAGCTTCTTTTTACCTTCAGTTACCCTTAAAACTCCATGGGAGCTACGAAACGGAACATCAAAATGTGAAAGACGAAATCTATTGGAACTGCAGCATCCAAGCGCGAGTATCGCACCGTTTTGGAATCCACAAACAACTGTATTCTAACCCTAGCTCGAGGGGCTCTGCTATATTTAAATCGTATAATCAGTTCAAAGACCGGCGCGAAGATTCGAATTCAAGAGTGAAGCGAGAATACAATATTTACCGGCCTCGACCTCGACGACTAGTTCGATCGTCGTGCATAAAGAACGCGCCACTCCTGGGAACTGCAACGGCTTCTCTCTCCTTCTGATCTCTCTCGCTCTGCTCCTTGTCCTCCTCTCCTTCACTGCTCATCTGTCTCTCCGCGGCCATTGCTGCAAACTCTACAGTCCGACTCGCTCCTTCTCCTTCGCCTTCGTCTTCTCCGTCTCCAACGTCAAGCTCGTCGAAGCAGTACGGCGATGCCTCATCCTCCGGCTCCGGCGCTGCTCCCAGACCGTCCGAATCGTCGCCGAACTCAGCACCCGCGGAACTCACGCTCGGATCGTCATTATCTTCGCGGACCTCACCGTCGTCGTCGTCGTCACTCGATTCCGTCCTCCGCCTGACGCGGCGCCACTTCAGATCTTCCTCATCGCTCCCGTCGCCGCCGTCGTCACCACCTCGCTCTTCCGCTCTCCCTCTCCCGCTCGCCATTTCGGAAATCGAACTCTCTAGCAACGAGCTAACCCTAGCTTCTCCGACGAGTGAGCAAAGCGGTTCGAAAATACCATTTCTCTCTCATGAAAACCTCGCTCCGGGCTCTCAGCTCTGAACGGCGATCTTTGGAACGGTTTTCCTTCTTTTTGTCTTTGTCCGAGAGTTTTTATATATTTTCTTCAGTTCGGAAAAATACACGTCTCGAATGAGAGAGAGCTCTTTGCAGTTGCTTGATTTTGTTTTCACGTTTCATTTGTGTTCTGTGGCTCTGCAGAAAATCGTCTGATGAGAGTTTCTGAGCAACGGCAGAGGGGTGGGGGGAAAGCTTGAGCGGGAAGCTGGATTTTCTTTTGTTTTTTTATATTCTTTTGTTTTGTCGTGTTGCTGCTAAACTCCGAGCCGAAAAGGGTGAAGGAGCCAATCGCAATCGCGGGATTTCGCACTGACCTCTTTTTCTAACCTTTTCTCCTGCTTTCTCCATCGTTGATCGTTCGCCACGTTTCAAAGAAACATTCTTTCTTCCACCAAAATATAAATCCACTGTCCACACATTCCCTGCTATACAATCGGTTAGCGGTTAACCGACCGGTTATAACCAAAATCGGCCAGTTATCCACTAACTTATGACCGAGATAATCAAAACTCGATCGGTGTTTGGAGGCTAGGTGATATGGTTTTGGTCTTGGAGGTTGTTCGGTTAACCGGAAACCGAGATAACCGAAGACTTAAGCCCTCTTGCAATCGATGGTCGGTAGGGTTGTGAGGTGGTTCGGTTGACCGATAACCAATCATTCAGTTATCGGTTATATAACCGAACCGACCGGTCCTCCGCCCCTACCTAGAATCCGACCTAGGATAAATTTGAATCCAAACAGTATGAATAATGAGCCATGATTTTTTACTATCCAACTTGAATCTTTTCACTGGTATAATGCTACTCTGCTCGCAAATTTTAACACATTAAAATGAACAAATAAAAAGGAACAATTACCAGGTATATTAACTAATATTCGAAATCATAATGATTGCGCGTACGGTTTGATTTACTATCCAAATCTTGTGGGAGTATACGTAAGGATAAAACTCAAATTGGCTATGATATGACAACATATATACATTATTCGCCCTCGAATGACTCATTGTCATCCCTACAATTACATGTTGTTTCTATGGGATGACTGATTGTTTGAGTAAGAACGATATAATTTTTCTGCGGTGTTTATAATTCATCTTTTCTTTGTATAGCCAATGCACGCTTTTTTTTATTAATGTGAGAAGAATAATCATTCAGTTTTAGATTGTTATAGTTTGGGTTGATATTGTTAAATCTTTTTCCATTCTAGTTATATCTCTACGTATTGGTATTGTCTTCTTCATATAAAAAGGACGGGGTTAAAGTGATATTTTCTCATAACGTAGTTTTTCATACTATAAAAATAATTACATGAATGTAACCTATAATACACGATTTTATAATTATTACATTATAGTACATATATTTATCACGATGCATCAATTTAACGAATACACAAATCAAACCAATCTACACACTTGTGCCAATTTTGCCTATTAGGCCAATAAAGGTTTTAAATTGTTGAAATATATTGTCAGTAGATAATTTGATGAAGCAGCTTTTAACGTTTTTCCATTACACACTTGTGTCATCAAAAACGTTAAAAGCAGGCCTTATGTCACTCAAATTCCCACAATCTCAATATAAAATCAAGACCGAATTGGGACCGGACCGGGTCAAGACCGGACCGGATCAAGACCGGACTGTATCCAATCCAATCTTTGGTCCTTATATTTTCAAAAAAACCGGACTGGACCGGATCAATTTGGGCCAATTTAACCGGACCGGACCGTATAGCCACCCCTAGTTAAAAGCTAAGGCTGAAAGGACTGGAATGTAAAAGATAGTAAAATGAAGACTGATTTGTAGTTTTGTACTAACGATTATAAATATTCCCCATTTTCTCCTTTCTTTTCCACTCGCTTCTTTCTTTTCGTTCCTCCTTTTTCGTTGAAGAGAAAGCTGACTTTGGTTATTAGCTCTTGGCTGTACAAAGCCCTTCTCTCTTTTCTTCATCTGTAGTTACAGCAGATTCTTAAAAGGATCTGCGAACAAATCTCTCTCTCTCTCTCTCTCTCTTCCCTTTTCCCTTTTTCCTTCCTCGGCTTCTGCTATTGATGATTGAATTGCAGAGCGCCTGAAGGGTTCCAAGGGGGAGAAGAAGCAGTCGTGGAGTCGCCGGATCTTTGAGTTGAAGTCAGCCAGCCGCACAAGTGTAAACCGGAGAAGCAGCTCCCCTTGTCGGCGTTAGTCAATCCAGGTAAGCGTCGGTTTCCGGTAGTTTCAAGTTCAATTGCTTCGTCGGTTAGTAGAACTGTCGAGAGAGAGAGAGAGAGAGAGAGAGAGAGAGCTGTTTTTACTTTGCATTGGTTCCGTTTGTTGCTGGATGTGATCCTTCAGATCCGTCCCTTTAGACGGTTGAATTTCTGTCTCCTGGTAATTTCCTTTGGGTGGCTGGGGAGTTACGGCCGAAGAAGCAGAAGAGATAATTGAGTTCCCTGTGGAATTTAGATTTCATTGCTAAGCAACAACTGTGGTATTCATGGCTGCCTTTTGCTTTCTGCGAGTGCTGACTCTGGTTTGAATGTTATAATAGGCGGTGGAGAAAATGGCGAGTCGGGTTAAGGAGGACGAGAAAAATGAGAGATTAATCAGGGGGCTTCTCAAGCTTCCGGACAATCGGAGATGCATCAACTGTAACAGTCTGGTAATGTTTGCTTCCAATGCTTTCTGCCCAGAAATTCTGGCACTGCTAAGATGATGGTTTGGTTCTACTCCCATGGAATTGAGCGGTTGCAGGAGTCAGTTGATTGATTTTGTATTTCAAGTGTTAGTTGCAATTAGGGTGGAAATTTGCTAGGCAGGAAAGGAAATGAAGTTAGGAGAAGTGAAGCGAAGCTTTAATTATACATTTGATGTGATGATAATGCTGTTAACTTACTTAGAGGGTACATTGATTCCAGGAGTGCATTAGTTGGTCCATCAGGGAGTTCCTTAGATACGTTGAAAGGGATACGATCTTTTTCTTGCAAAGGTTCTTATGTTTATTGCTTCGCAAGAATTATTCAACTTCCGATGTTTGTCTGCAAATTTGTGAGCAAAACATGAAAGTAAAAAGGACCTTGGAGTATACGTCTTGTTTACTCATAACTTTCTGTGTACCCTCAGGGGCATGCCTGTAGGTGAGGAAAGATTTCCCATGTAGTTCATATCAAACTGCCTAGGTCAAAAGAGATGATGGAGACTGTAGAAACTGTGATAACTAGGGGTTTTGACCATTACATTAGTTGAAAATGATCATGTGCTTGGAGTATTGCAGTACCATGTTATTGGGGGGAAATGCACATGTTTCAGTTCTAAGACTTTTTTCTTTGTTTGATCAGGGACCGCAATATGTTTGCACGAATTTCTGGACATTTGTCTGCACAACCTGTAGTGGAATTCAGTAAGTATCTCCAGATAAACATTTAGGGGTGCACAACCTTGTTCAATTCGTGCCAACTTTGCTTTGAATGTGTTTCTATGGAAGTCGGTGTATTAAACGCATTCCTGTTTGGGTAGGTTTTATTCTCTTGTATACTTACGCTGTTGGATTTGCTACCCTCCTCAGCCGGGAGTTTACTCACAGAGTAAAATCAATATCGATGGCTAAATTCACCTCCCAAGAAGTTGCTGCGCTTCAGGAAGGTGGAAACAAGGTACGACAGTCTTGTATTTCATTGATGTTAAATTTAATCGTATTTGATGGAAGCATATTCCTGAACTTTCATCCTTGACCACCCTTATTCTGGATACATGACAGCACGCAAGAGAAGTTCTTCTGAAAGACTGGGATGCTCAGCGTAACTCTTCACCTGACAGCAGGTTGGCACAGACTTACATAAAGCTATCTTACATTTTAATAATGATTTTTGTTCTGGTGTCCTTCCCTAATTTTCTTGTGTGACAGTAATGTGGATAGACTTCGGGACTTCATTAAGCACGTGTATGTTGATAAAAGGTATACGGGTGATAAGAACTATGGCAAACCTCCAATAATGAAGACGGTGAGATGACATCATTCTTTTTTCTCTTGAAACTATATGTCAATATAGCTGTCTCTTAACTGCTTTGATTTCTTCGGTATGTTTTGGCAGCACAGAAATGCTAATCATCATAGTTAAATCTGTACAGGGTGACAGAGAAGATGTGGGCTCCCGGAGTCCACCATACGAGGATGTCTATGACCGTCGCTCCAATGAAAGGTCTAGTCCGGGTGGAAGAAGTGATGACAAAAACTACAGATATGGTTATGATGAGAGGAGAAGCCCTGGATATGATCAAGAAGGTAGACAGTACAATGATTACAGGAAAAGTCCCGCTCGACCAGAGGTTATCAACGATTGGCGTCGGGAGGATAGATTTGGAAGTGGAAGGAAAGGTGAGGATCGTAGAATATCTGATGGAGATTCGAAATTGGGAGGCCGGTCACCTGAGCGGCCAAATGATGTTTGGGGATCTAGCCCCCCTGTGGTACGGCCCGTTCGAGAAATTTTGGGTGATAGTGTAGTGCCTCTTCGTATAAGTGAACCACCTAAAGCTAATGCAGCAAGGGCTGCTGATGGGTTTGTGGCGACGCAGGTACGCCTCTTCCCGTTAACCTCTACATGTCTTTTAAAACTCATATTTTGTGTTTAATTGCATTTAAACTTCCTCATTTTCAACTTTGGTTTCCAAATAATGGTGGTGTCATCTATCATTCCGTGGATATCTTGTCATATTCCTGTCGTTAAAATTGGATATCTTGTCATATTCATGTATTTTCTTCGTTAAAAGTTATATTCACTTTCCTGATCATATTATTGACACCTGCTCAAGTATAAACACGAAATCATTCATTGGTTTCATCCAGTAAGATGTCTTATAGTAGGAGGATGTGGACCTAATGCCACAGTTTGCTGTAACAATTACAGAGAACTGCCTCTTCAAGCAGCCTTGGGTCTATGCCTGAGACCCCTGCAGAAGTAAAAGTTGAACCTGCACCAAGCTTAATCGATTTTGACTCTGATCCTGCTCCTGTTGCTGTCGCGGCTGCTCCCCAAGCACAACCGCCAACTTCAACTCTACCTGCTCCACCAACTTCAGCTGCGAGCAATGACAATAACTGGGCGTCTTTTGATTTTGCCCCTGCTCCTAAAGCTTCTGAGGCTCCTGTAAACGCCAGTCCGCTGGATTCTGTTTTATCTCAGTTGTCAGCTACACCATCTGTACCCGGTCCCGCACAAATTATTCCTAATGGTACTGGTACAATGCCTGTGACTGGCAATGGTGGTAATGCCCCTGTTCCGGAGGCTGGGCAATGGGCCACCGCACAGCATCAACAACCTTCTTTGACCCCTGCTCAATCTCCCACTCAACAATTTCCAGCCGTTGGCAATCATGTAAGCCCTTATAACAGCCTTTTTAGCTTTCATTGTGTTATACATATTTGTTAGCATTTGGACCTTATTGTTTGCTGGTCCATTTTGCAAGCCTTGGAATTCGTCACTACCCCCTAATGTACAAGCAACTCTGAATACAACTCCTGGAGGAGGAACAGTTCCGGGTCCTACATCTGCACAGCCTTCAACAGCTACTGGAAGGAAAGAATTACCTTCGGTAACTATCTTTTCATATTAGCTCCTTCTACTGTACATTGGTTGCAAATACATGTGTGCCTTACATTGTCCCTTAAATATCTGCAGGATCTTTTCACTGCAACATATCCTTATTTCCCTGCAATGGCTCCAGGGTGGCAAACAGGTCCACCTGGTGGTATGATGTACCCTATGCAGTATGCTAATGTGCCAGCCCCTATGCAATATGCTAATGTTCCAGCTCCTATGCAATATAATAGTGCTGCTGCGGTAGGTTTGTCAGTAATAAAAAAAAAATCGCCGATTATTATGATTTTCTATGGGTGTTCATTTGTTTCTCTCTTGTATCTGCATTTTTCCACAGCCTATGCCCACTTTCGTCCAGCAACCCTCGAAATCGTCAAATCCATTTGATGTGAATGAGCCAACACCAGCTCAGGCCCAACTTGTATGTGTTGTGCTCTCTCTTCGTTTGCCTTACACTCTGTCTGTCTTTCATTTCACAATATGTCTATGCTGAAATTGTTATTCAAAAGGAAAATATAATAAGATTGGAAAGCAAAGGAACGTTTCCATGTTTTAGGCACAGCTTGCAGTGTTCATTGTGGTTTTAGATAAGACACTTATAGCATTTTATACTTTCATGTTCAAAGATCTCAGTATAACAATGCTAAAGCAGCTCACTCTGGAGATTCTACCAGTGTTTGAGTCCTTTCTGGCTTACATTGGAAAAGAGATTGTTCTTCCTTGAATCTTAGAATAGTAGAATTATTAGTTCGAGAAATCAGACTTTAGATAGTTAGAAGATTTGAATAAATTTATCCATTCAGGGGGGATTCGGTTTCTAGGAGTTCTGTGAGCAGGCAAGACTAGTGTGGTCGTTCTTGTCTGCTTGATCGGGAATGTTGAGAATATGTTACTTCTGCATTCAGAAAGATACCTAAGGCTGCTGTTTATCTGTTTACTCTTATTTTATTGGTTTCATGTCTGCAGTTTCCTAATATGTCATCCTTGCAAAGTGCTATACCAAATGTGGCGCTGCAATCAGGACTACAACGCACTTCAAGTCTTGATAACTCTTCACCAGCAACCTGGATGCCAAACCAGCCATCACCTTATCAATCAGGATTGCATACCCAGTTACAATCTTACGCAACTACAGCGCCCCCAAGTAAATTTCTGTCTCATTCAGTCTTTTCAACACCCTTGTGCATTATTGTATTTACATTCTTATCCTGCTTCATGAAACAACTCAGGGCCAACTACATCTCAAGTACCGAGTCACATGCCATTGCCTGGGTATGTATTCACGAACCATACCTACTGTACCAGTAATACTAGTGATTAGCTAAAGTGCAAGCTCATGGGGTTCGCCTAGTAATTAATGGAGATGAAAAAACTACCCACCTACAGGACTCTTAATGATCACACATAAGTTGAACTTTCCAGAATCGTACGTGTTGTTTGGCTGGTCGATTGTTGAGATTAGATAGCTTTCTGGATTTTATACCAAATGGTGTGCAGGAATATTAAGAGACCAAGTTACCGGTTTTACTATGTACTTGTTGCTTATTGATTCATTAGTTGGCTTGGGTCCTTTGACTAATTAGAAGGGGAATGATTCTATTTTTCAAATTTGCAGGGAAAGAAACTTGTCTCTAACAAAGAGATTTAGAGATGTGTCACCTAAAGTGTCATTCGAAAAAACTCACTCCTATATTCAGATCACTATACTATATCCCACAGTCCACCACCACTATAGCCTATCCAAACATGAAATTTCTGCCAAATCCATTAGCTGAGAGATCTTTCAAATCTACCAGCCAAACAACCTCTTGGGAACGTGCTTCTAAACTGACTTTTGCAGTTGGGATTTGAAACGATTCCTAGGGCAAATCCACCAACCGAACCACACCTAGGTTTCTATGTTGTAGTGGGTATGTAGTAAACTTCATAGCTGCTAAATGCTTCTGAAATTTACTTTCTACAGACATCAAGGAATAGCAGGTTTCGGCGGCGGTGGTGCTGGTGCTGCCTTTGGTGGCTTAAATTTGGACCAACATCTGGGTGGCGGATTCTCGGCTCCAGCTACTACATTGCAGCCGTTCCCCTCTGCAGGAGGAAACCCTTTCGGATGAAGAGTGATAAATACAAAACATGGGAGGAATATTTCTTTCACCCTAAGTTCAGCAATTGCATCATCTTGTTGCCTATTGCCAAACGGCTGCTGGGTAAGAAAGTTCCGCCCTTTAACCTCGTCGTGATCCAGGCAAATTGTGAACTGCTGGTCTTTTCCTGGGCAACAGGGCAACTGTTCATATATTAGGCAACGGGGAAATTTTATAGATTATTTGTAACGAGAGGTCTAGGGTTTTCTCTTTTCTTCTTTCGATTGCGATTTTCCATTGTTGTATTATTTTTCATCAGGGGGTAAAATGTGTGTGCTGTCTTCTACCGTGGAAACTGTACCATTTAGCTTGTTCTATTTTAAGTTAAAATTCTTTGTAGGGGATAGGTGTTTTTTTCACTTTCATTTATCATCCGAGATGTGTATTATTTCGTAGTCTCTTCGTTCTCGTGGCGAGCTGTTTCGAGTCTGGAATATATTGTATGAAATGGACCAGCTGGTCTCCTGCGTAAAGCTTGTGCAATTGCATATATGTGACATTTTGAGATTGATATTCTTCTCTTTATCTTCTGCAAGTGGAAACTCACCTTGGATTTCTCATTTCGCTGGTTGTAGTAGGCGATTGCAGTTACTTACATGTATAATGTATTCCACTCGCCACTGGTATGCATTCTCGAAACCGTTTCATGCAATTCATTCCTTGGCAATTGGATATGAAAGACTACGAAGGAAGAGAGCTACAAATGACACCGAAATTCACAAACGAGAATGCTTAAGAAACATCGCAACGAAAGAGATGCACAAACGAAGTTTTGAACAAAGAAGATTCCATATGGGCAGGAGAGAAAGGTGGGTGGAAATGCTAATCTTCATAGTTAAATCTTTAAGCAATTTAATAAATTTGGATGATTAAGATAATGTAGGTTCTTAGTTAGCAAAATATTGGGTTTGCAAAAAATAATACTATGCCGAACTAAAATGGTAGATAATATGATATTTGATATGATCAGCAAGTTAGATTAATCTATGTTAGTTAATGGGTAAATTTAGTAGTTTGTTTAGCAGAGTAATATATTTTATAATATGTTTCTCGAATTCAACAATGTAAGTGATTTAAAAAAAAAAAAAGAATTAGTGTTCTTCTCTTGACCTAGCAAACAGAGGACCATATAGGGAATCCACATTCCTTTTCTTCCAAGGATTTTCAACCATGGAAAATGCTTCCAAATGCCCCAAATGACATCGACTGAGACTTTGAGACATGCCTTCAATTGTTGACCATGGACCAACAACTCAACTGAGAAAAAAAAGAAGCTAACTTTGTTGTATTCCAAACCAATGATTTCAGAATCCATCTCCATCCACGAATACACACTTCTCCAAAATGAGACGACTCTATTCATTTGCTTATTATTTACAGGAATCCAATTCCCCCCACCACCACATTTTCCATCCCGCAACAAATGAATGTCAAATCTCATTTTCGCCCCCTTTTGTCCAACTTGTTGAACATCCATCGTATAAACCTAAACATTATAGTGATGTCACTTCTCTGTTTGGCCCATTATGCTCCTTGGCCCAATAGCACCACCACCGGGGGAAGAAGGATGAAAGCCCAAGCCATACTAAAACGAACAAAAAGCCCATTCTTTCCTCTATCTTTGTCCCTTTCCTAAACCGGCGGTGATCCCCCTGCTGCCCTTCTGCTCTTCAGTATTATCGGTGCCACCATCATCCATACGGCCAAAACCACAAAAACCAAAACCGTTAAGGTCTTATCGATTTTGAGCAGCTAGTTAATTCGAGTTTAAATTTGGTTAACCAAATCCGAACACGAATCGCCGCCGCTAACGACGAATAGAGAGTTTTTTACTTACTGTATACACAAACGGCCAGCCACTCATTCACTATTCTCACCCATGCGCTAGTCCACCCCACATCAATCGTCCACCTGCGCAACAGACAGTGCAAAACAAACTCATTGGTCACTATATCTTCATCCCAATGTTAAAAAAACAGGAAAAGAGCACAACTTTCCCTAATCTAATTAATGGCTTTAACTTTAGGAAAAGTGTTCTCGATGATAAATTAAAGGGGGAAAAAAACCCACCAAAGTCCGCTACCACGACAAAACAAAACATGATATCACGATTAGATCAAGGACCACAGTGAAAAGAAGAGAAAATTTGGAGGGCGGAAAAGTGAGATAGGAAAAGAATAGGGATGATGAGCGGGAGAGCGTACTTCTTAATGGCGTGGTGGGTGTTCCAGCCGATCAACAACATGGCGAAGTACATTGCTCCCGTCGCGAACACAAAGTGGAAGAATCCATACCCGTATGGCACTTCATCTTCTTCCTTTTCCCCACCGCCACCTTGCGTCTCGCTCTTCTGGAAGCACTGTGAGTCGATTCCAGTGGAAAATGTCGCTATGACGATCGCCAGCAGCCCTATGACAAAGCTCTGCAGAAATTGGAAGTAGTTCACCATTAAAGCCATGAACTTTTTCTGATGTTTCAGGATTCGGTTAACGATGGTTTTACTTACTATGATGGTGAGCCAATCTGTTCTCTGGGAAGCCTCTGCCTTCCTGTTGCAACTCTCCCCTGCTGGTTCACTGTTGTCATATTACCATAGAAAGAAAGAGGTCAAATTTGGACCAAATTGAGCAAGAACCATGAAAATTTGAAGAGCAATGGTGTGTGGTAGGCTTGCCTTCTGATGGCACACCAGCAGAGGAACACAACATACAGCCCCATCAGTCCAGGTGCCAGGAACCCGGCATTGATCTGCGCGAAAAACGAGCACGTTTCAGCATCTTCCTTTCTTCTAGCATTACCATGAACAACATTGCAATGAATGAACATAAAAAGGAAAGGAAGGAAGAAGGGTTTTAGTTATTACTTTAGGGTGAAGAGAGACACTGGTCATGAGTTGCAGGAGCACTAGGGACCAGGTGATGAAGAATATGTTGAGCAGGCAAGATGGGTCTGGTGTGTACCAAATGAACATCATGATTATCCCCACCAGGCTGATCACATATGAACCTGTCGCCACCACCATCACATGGATATGGCTGCCACCAATTTGGAATCAAAAGGGTTCAAGAAACAGTACAGCATTTTTTGTTACTACTAAGGAGAATCAAAGGGTAGTCGAAGATGAAAAACCTCACCATCTTTCTGCGTTTTTCTCAGACAGGCAGCGATCGTTGATCCATGTAATGAAGCTGATCACACTCACCAGCTGAATCAGTAGAAACACCCTGCAGAAACAAAGATTGAACACTGAATCATTCATTCAGCTGGATGAAGAAAGAAAGGCACATTCAGAAACCAATTGGTACATTACCCTGCACCAAAATGTGCAATCTCGCCTGCACAAACAGAAAGGAAGAAGGAAAGCAGAATCAGCACAGCAAAATCCAATTACCGCAAGAAGCTTGAAACTCCATTGTTGGTTTGAAAGAAACTAACCGTAGATCCTGACAATGGTGGAAGGAAGAAGGAAAGCTAGCAGAGTGACTCCAACCCAGATAGCGATCTTCGCCGACCACCACCCAGAATGCCACGCGTCCCTCGGATCTTGGAGCTTGGAAGTCCCCACGGTCAAAAGGAACATGAGAATGAAGAAGACGAAACAACCCAAGCTCACCCTCAAAACCCCCTCAGCTCCCAAACAATCCGATTTCCCATCACAAACTTTCAGCCCTGCAAAACGCAAGATCCCCAAAAATTGAAATCAAAATCCGAAGCCAACCAACCCAAACCAAGAAAAAGGAAAGAATTGCTGAGGGAGGAATGGGAATTTCTTCTTACTTTCCATCTCAGTCAAAGCGGAACCGCCATAGTCGCGAGCAGCCCAGGCGAGGAGATTGGCGGAGAGGAAAATGAGGGCGTAAACGTATCTCGCCATCCATGGGTTCGACCCGTTTCTGAACTGACCGAACCACGACGGGTCCTTCAACACCGCATTGTTCCTCTCGATTCTGCTGCTCGCGCTTCCACTTCCGCCGCCGGGGAGAACGACGCCGGCGGCGTCCATTTTAATCCGGCAAGAGTTTTCAGACCAGACCCACTACCGCAACGGTACGGAGAAACAAAACCCTCATTTCAATTTCAAATCTTTCTCAGCCGCCATTGTTTTAAGTTCCTCCTGTTTACTCTGAACCTTGAATTTGGCAATGGCGTTTGAATCTGAACAATGGAAGAAGAAGTAGAAGAAGGAGATTCGTTGTGAGAGAGCGACGTTATTCTACAGTACACCAAACATAAACCTGAATGCAACCCAACTCCATTGCATCTTTCTCTATCGTGCTTCAATTGAAAGCTAAGCCCAACCCACCTAAAATACAAACGTCGTCTGTGAAAAAGGAGTGGCGAAGGAAGGAAGAATTTCCTGAACGGCGCTCAGAGAAACCGATCCAACTTGTAGTTGAATTTTGGAACAGAATTCGGATTTTTATATCCCGGAATATATAAAAGAGGGAGGAGATAAGTACAGAAAAAATAATATAATATATAATGAATTTAGAACGAAGGAAGGAAGACCTTCATTCATGGGATTCTGGAGTTGGGAGCCATGATTGCTCAGAGAGGATGGTGTGCCTGTCACTACTCGCCACCACTACTACTGTTGCAGTTTGCACTATAATCAGTCAATTCAGCGTGACTGCGAGATGAGGTAAAGCTGATGGAGTGGGCTTTTTCGGTACGAGTGGACGTTGTTGGATTGTACAAACTAGATTTTCGAATTCGATTTATGCATATATATATATAGTAGCATTTATTAAAATAGCGTTAATTCATGTTTTCAATGGACTAAATGATTGATCCAAACTGTCCAATGGATTTAGAGTTAGTGCTCCAATCCTACTTTCTCATATAGTAAAAATATGAAAAGGCAAGTGCTTACACTTCCTCGAGTTACTTTTTAACCTGTCCAACACAACTCGAATTATTGTGACATTGACACAAACACACACCCATTTTCCTCGTGTGTATTATGAACTCCAATTCGTAAATCAAACGATTCGAGAAAGTATAAGTGTGATACTGGCGGCGCGATACGCCTACTCCATCTGAGATGATAATCAAACTCATTGTGAGATGTGCTAATTGCCTAATGGGTTAGTGAACAAATATATAGGGAAATTATTTCATTTTCTTTGCCTATTTTTATTTCTTTGATCATATCTTTATTCTTTTCTGAAGTATGAATAGAATTTAGGGTTAATACCTTATTTTGGCCTGAACTATACTCATATAATCAACTTTGGCCAGTGGTTTCAGAAATTCCCACTCTGGCCTCAACTATACACCATGTAGACTCAATTGGCCCGACTCGTGAATTTCTGTCAAATTAGACGGTCAACATCATTGACCGTTAGTGAATAAGCATACTATGCTGACCTGGATGCCACGTGAAAATAAAAATTAATAAAAATTTAATAGTGTAATAAAAGAAAATAAAAAAGATAAACTAAAAAAATACCCCTTATCCTTCTCACTCGAGATCCACACAACCACCACTCCACACTTTTCGTCTCCCAACATCCTCAATTTCTCCCTAACCTCTTCCCCTCTTTTCAGCCATGGCCATTACTTGCGCTCCATTCATCACCTCCGAGAAGCTATCCACAGCTTCCGGCATGGTCGTCGGCCTCAGAACCGGGTCCACGGCCAAGCACGCCGTCGACCGAATCGTTGATTTGCACCAGCAAGGTAAGTTGAAGGACATGATAGGCATCCCATCGTCCAAACAAACACATCAGCAAGCGTCATCTCTCGGATTCCCTCTTTTCGGATCTCGACTCTCATCCCACCCTCGACCTCGCAATCGACGGCGACGACGAGATTGACCAGATCTCAATCTGGTGAAAGGCCAAGGGCGTACGATTAGCGGAAGTGATTGGCTTGCCGCCCTTCAAATCGATGCCCTAGGAGAGGGTATTCGTCATCTTCTTCTTGGTGAACTAGGAGGCAAGACCTGGAGCAGTGGTTCGTCGGGACAAGAGGGGTTGAAGGAAACCCCGACCCGATGACGCGCTTCTGTTTCAAGATCTGGAAATCCGGCTTGAACTACTAGCTCGTGTACTGCCTGCGATGTGCAAGTTGCGCAAGATGATTGCAAGGATGTCGGGATCTATGTCGATGATAGTGGTGGGAGGACGTTGGGTCTGGTTGAGATTTGTGAAAGATGAGAATGCCGAGATCAAACCATTTTCCAACTCTTCTGCAATTAGAAACTGCCGAGAAGAACTTATTTTCTCTCTCTTTCTTTTTGGTTAATTTGAAATTTTAGTGAAAGAAAAATTTAGAAGTTTACTTTTTACTTTTTAATTTTTTATGAATTTTTGTTTTATTTCATTTTTTATTTTATTAAGTTTTTGAATTTTTTATTAATTCAACGCTGACATGGCAGTAAGTTGGACCCGTTGACCGTTAGTCAACAGTGTTGACTGTTCAAATTAACGGTCAAAATACGCTTCAGGTCAAATTAGTATATATAGTGTATAGTTCAGGCCAGAGTGGGAATTTCTGAAACCATTGGCCAAAGTTGATTATATGCTTATAATTCGGGCCAATTTAAGGTATTAACCCTAGAATTTAAATGAAAGGGATCTCTATATATATGTTTAACCGCCAATAGTGGCGACGCCGAAAGTCGCTCAAAGAGAGCGGCCATGATGAGGACGAGACGATTCCTTCCTACCCTAAAACCTGTTAGAAATTAATTTTATTTTGGTAATAATTAGAAATTCAATCTTAATCCTAGGAGTTCTCTATTGAGCCAAATATATAATAATTATTAATTAGCAAAAGCCTAATCCAACGAAGGAAAAGTTAGATATCCCAGAATGGGGCACTGTTCACATTTTCGTGCAACTTATTTAAGTAGTTCATGTGCATGAATAGAGGTGAATCTATGAATAATTGGTAGCATTGCTTGAAAATTTAGTTTTTGTATGTAAATAAATGGTGGGATGCTCCACTCAAGAACAAGAGATTTTTGCTTTCATACCCTCAAATAAAAACCTATTTATGATTTTGAAGTTTGGACATGTCTGAATATCATGTATTTAACAAATGAGATCACCGAAATTCAAACACAAGACCTCTCGATAACTGAGAACTTTTATACCATGTCAAAAATAGTTTAGTCCCAATAACTCAACTTGTTAGGAGAGATTCAATTACGAAACGATCGTTACTGATATTATAAAATGAAGCAACTCGGAGGTGTCATGTCAAATCAGTATTACAAAGCGTTAGAGTGTAACCTAAGTACCATTTAGCTTGGCATGAACCGGTGTAAATACAAAATTAATATTATGCTTACCTGTGTTAAACACATTATCAAATTGATAATGCTATTCTAACTAAAATACCTCTCCTTCATCCATGTTCTTATTATACGGCACAATAGTCAGCTGTCTCAAACAACTTAGACCAGGCAGCTGCCTCCTTACTGTACGGATTAATCTAATACCAACGTGGGAACTATAACAAAAAAACTACACCACAACAACCTTTGGTATTTTATGCCGAAATATGCGAGGATCGAGAAAACGCGGAATGTGTATGCAAACTAAGCATACACATTACTTAGTAAGCATAAACATTGCGCTTACTTTCTTTAAAGGGTTATAGGTATAATATGCTCTTCTACTATGACGTTTTATCAAACATGCCCCTCTACTATTTTTTACATCAAACATGCCCCTGTACTTTGTAAAAATTATCAAACATGCCCTTGTGTTAAAATTTTCATCGAAAAACCGTTAACCAAGGCCGAACTTTAGTTTGAGTGACACAAATTACTAAAATATCCCTAATAAATTCACTTTAGAATTTTTTTGGTTCTTTTGTATATTCAAATCATTCAAATAATTTCACTTTGAAAAGACCCAGGGAAATAAAACAGGGGACAAAACTGACATTTTTCCTCCCATTTGCCGATGTCGGGTCGTCTAAATCTCAATTCAACCATGATTGACGATTTTTTCAATGGAAATTTTAACAAAAGGGCATGTTTGATAATTTTTTCAAAGTACAGGGACATATTTGATGTAAAAAATAGTAGAGGGGCATGTTTGATAAAACATCATAGTTGAGGGGCGTATTATACCTATAACCCTTCTTTAAATGCATAGTCAAGAATCAAATGACGTCAGACGTCAGTGTATGTGAGACATGATTCACATTTCGTGCGAATCACAACCATCTGATTCTCGAACAGACAACTAAGAACGTTATAAACACGCTTTCACGTTTATCCTTTTCGACATTCGGATTGGAACAGTCTTGACTGTCCCTCCACACTAGTGTGTAAGCAACAAAATATTAACATCTTGCTTACTTTCTTTAACCGTCTAATCAAGAATCACACGACAACAATGAATACAAGACGTGATTCACAATCGTTTGATTATCGAACGAGAACGGCATAACTCATAAACACGCTTTCACGCTCAGCCGGATTGGAACAGTATTGAAACTGTCCCACCAGTGTGAAAAAAACAAGTCATCAGGACTGGAAATTCTTTTGTCACCTGACAAAGAGAGAAAACCTGCCTGCTGCTTCCCTTTATGATTGGACCTTCTGCACCTCCTCACATGAAGCAGCAGGTTAGCAAGAAGAGCAGAGCAGACAGATCTTGCTTCTGAACAGTGTACAAGAATCTCTGCCTGCCATAGTCATACTCTTTTGCTTTTTGTCTTCTCTGTTTGACAATTATGGACCTAAATACTGTTCATAAATAAATAAACAAAAAGAGAGATCTGATTTCGTGGGAATGCGTGGAAGCATTGCAGGAGGAGTGAATGAAAAGGAATTTCAAGGCTTGATATCTGCTACCATGTTTGATTGAAAATGTGTTGATTCTGAGATTAAGAAAACCATCTAATTATTTAATAGGGGTATGTAATGGTACTTAACTATTTTTGGGTGAATTGCAATTTTGAGGTAAAAGGAGAGGCTGATTAAGCTTATGTGATTAGTGTTGATGTTTGTGTGGTGGGGGCAAAATTTGGATCATGTTTTGGCTCATTTTAATGAGATCACATCTCTCTCGCTTTATTCTTTTGACTTTATTTTTATGGATTGCTTTACCTTTTTCTTTTAGATAACAAATATAAAGTATCGATAAAATGTTTGTTTGTGACAACTAATTTGATCTTTATGAAAATATCTCTAGGTCCTAGCCTAACTAATACAAGTTTCGAAATTGTATCTTCAGTGAAGTTAATAAGTATGATAGTCTAAAGTATAACTACAAATCCATAAAAAAACTACTTATGACAATTTATAAGTCGATTCCATCGATTGATACGGTACTAAAGAAAGATTTTACAAATTACAATACTTTATACCATCAGTATTCTGATTAAAAAAAAACTTTTATAGTACAGACTGAATTTGTACTTATACCTATATTTTTTTTATACAAATTCATTTATGATATAAACTGAATTTATACTTTATATATGTTAGAAACTGAACTTGTGTCATCACATAATAGTAAGATTTTTTTTTATGTTATAAACTGAACTTGCATATCTAACACGTTACGATAGACATTCAATTTGTATTTCGAAACACAATTATTTCGTTGCAGATTAGAAGAGCTCATGGTGCAATAATGATTGCTGCCAACACAAGCAACATAAATGATTCTTTCTCCCGTGTCAATCAAAACCCACATACAATTGGTAAAACAGAAGGGTGAAAATTCACGAACCGCTCGCCCCTCTGTTTAGTTCCTGAGAAACCGATAAACAGAGGGGAGAGAGCTCGAAGCACGAAAGACAAAACCATGCATTTCATTTTTCACTTCAGCATAAGAAAAGCATGACCATACTTAAACTTAGATATATTCAATCAATGTACTCGGAGCCATATTATAAAACCACAGTAGCAAGAAATCAAAAAACAGGGGAGGAAAAAAAAAACAGAGCATGATTTCCATATGTGAATCGGATTTGCAGAGAGAGTTAAAATCACATTACCTGGTGAAATGGAAGAGTCAGCAGAGCTCCCCGGGGGGAGAAGAAGAGAACCCAGAATGAGCCCAAACTGGCTTAGATTCAGCAATGGCGAGAAACCCACCAAACGAAAATGAAATCTCTCCTCTGTTTTTTTTTTTCTTCTTCCCCTTACTTCTTTCTTCTTGCTCTGTTTTTTCACGCAGAGAGCACGGGCGAGAGGAAAAGGAAGGCAAGCAGCACGGCTCTTTATCTTCTTCTTCTTCTCCAGCTAGCTCGCTGCCGTGACGGGACTCTGGCCCGCGGCTTTTAAACGTGTTATCTGGATTTGGAGTGGAAGGAAGAGATGGAGAGACGGATAGGAAAGAAGCCCCCGGTGGAGTTGCTTTTGCGCCTTTGGTTTCTTTTGCTTTTGCCAAATGGGGAGCTCGAGATAGAAGAAGCAAAGCAATCTGGGGAATGAATAGTACTGATTGCTAACTAATACGGATTTGTATGTATAACCATTGGTACAAGAAAGCAACTTGGGAAGTAATAGAGATGACAATCAAACCCATGCTAATGGGTACTCATTCACTTTTGATCCAGTTAACATGCGGAATTTCTGTAATGATTGAGTTTGAGTATGGGGCGAGTATGGATAAATCTCCTAAATGGTTTGATGGGTACGTGATGGGTATGGTTTTAGCTTCATCGGACCCATACTCGTACCCTCCCACCAATAGCATTTTTTTCACATTTGCAAAATACATGGATGAAATTGTTACATGTCAACGACGGTGAGAGTAACTCAAAACGTAAGTAGTAAAAATGCAATTGAGTGGCCGAATCAAAACCTAATCACTTTCTCTCGAAATCTCCCTTCACTCTTTCACTTTTCACTTTCGCCTCCGATACCAAGGGTGCTGCTGGGAACGCTCAAGTGGCGCCACTGGGAATCGAACTTAGGACCTCCCACATCTAGAGTTCAATTGGTCCAGTGGTTTCACCACTAGGGTATGTTACCTTTGGCTTTTTCATTAATGTTGTCTAAACTCTTTGGTTGATAAGTTTCTATATTTAGTCATATCGATTCAATCTAACACTATGGCTTATATATGCTAACGGGGTTCCTCGATCTCACGACTAAATTGAAGGACTCACTTAATTTATTGTGACATGAGTTAAAAAAAGAAGAAGAAGAAAAAAAAAGAGTGTTCTAACAGCTTGGGTGTAATGATCTAAATAAATGCCTTCCTATTAAGGATATAGCAATTTCTTATATAGTAATTATGTTTATGATACCTTATTCGCAACGACATGGTGCCTCAATAGTGTAATGCGGTCTCTTTAATTATAATTTGTTACGATGAGTGATGACAACCTCTCTTTACTTAAATGTATCCCGATCGACTCAATCGTGTTCATGCATATGCACACATACCTTGGTTTAGTAAACAGTTTTCCCCGTAGCTTACCGACCGAATAAGAAGATACAAAAGAATCTCTACACTAATTAAGGATCTCATGACCTGATACCCTAATGAGTGGTTAAGTAAAGGAAACCAAATGGTCTGCAATCTTGCTTCTAGTTGGGGCAAGGGTGTTTTACGTATGTAATTATCCATCATGATGAGATCCGAGTTATTATGCTGCTATACTCACCAACTCAATGCCATGCGCATAATAAATGGCAATGAAACCCCCAGAACAGAAAGTGAAGGAGGAAACCAGAAGTTTCCAAATCTAGAGTTTTTTTTTTCTTTTTTAAGAACTGATGATAATAGTTTCTGTTCTTTAAAAGGGCTCATAATAGTTAATGAATGGTGGAAAGACAATCAAGAGCAATGATTAATCATGACTTCTGTAGCCATGGATTGTCGAGGCAAGCAAAAGCATGAACATGAAGAACAACCACTTTACTTGCACTGCTGGAGCCAAAGCAAATAGAGAAAAAAAAACCAAAATGGGGCGTTCCGAGAATCGAACTCGGGACCTCTCGCACCCAAAGCGAGAATCATACCACTAGACCAAACGCCCAGATGAGTATATATTCAGCTTTTCCTATACAGGGTCTATCTTTTATCACTTGTTCTGATAAGAAACAATAAAATAAGTGCATGGTGCTGGCTTGAGGAACTATAATTATTAAGGTACTAAATTAGCAGCTGGCATCAAATCTAGTGCACATGCACGCACGTGATTTCCCCCCGTAGATTTGGATTTGGATGGAGTATTTGGTCCACCAAATGTATTAATATAACCCATTAGGTACCTGAACTAATTGAATAATATTGTTTTGTTAATTCCCATCTTCTTCCAACGCTCGTGTTTCCAAGCTTATAATTTTGCGTCAAATCATCTTTGGAAGTGTGTGGAATCCACCTTCTCAATCCCAACATCTTCTTAATTACTATGATATTCCCTGATAACCAAAACCATTTTGTTAATTACTACTGCAACATAGTTAGTTGGATGAAGCTTCGTGTGTTTATGTGAATTGGTCGAGTTGGGCTTTGACCCAACCTTTCAAAATTGGTGGAACCAATGGCTGATCGCTATGGGCCTGACTGACTCTGATTATTGAAACTTAACCAGGCTTAATTCTCGCTTCGACGCGGTTGAAAGAGAGACCCAGAGACGACGTGGGCTTTTTATGGGCTGGGCAGTGGATAAAGCTGAATGGGCTGATCCTTCAGAAATCAGAATGATCAGGCTGCTTTGGGCTAGTCCATCAATTTGGAGATGAGATGCTTCTATTGTTTAGGCGGGGCCGTGGCTGAGGGCCGAGCCCAGAAAATGCTGTTTTTCATTTACCCAATCCTCCAAAACTAAACCACAACATGCAGCTGTAAGTGATATAAGGTTCATTTCTCGATTTATGCGTGTCATCCTTACGCAGGTTCATTTCTCGATTTATGCGTGTCCTCCAAAACTAAACCACAACATGCAGCTGTAAGTGATATAAGGTTTGTAATTGACTTTGTTTGGATCTTATCTCCATCTCTTTTGAGATCGGTTGAATGACAACAACAAAAAAAGTGATATAAGGTTCATTATTGATCTTCTCTTTATAAGTTTGAGTTATTGGGTTTAAAACGATTCTCGACATGATATTAGATCTGAACGAGAGATCTTCTTCAATCGAACTCTTGCAACCCCATTTATTAAGCCGATTGAATTTCAAACATGTACAAACTTCAAGCCCCATATGATCTGATGACGTTTTAGTTGAGGGAGTTCAATCCGTTAAACAGCCCTTTTTACACGGAGTTCTGTTCTCTAAGGTTGTTCCCAAATCACTCGAATGTACAATTTGGAGAGGTACGTATGCCTATTTTTTTTTCCTTTTACGTTTTTGTTTCTGTGTGGTTGAGCCAATGATTGTGAAATCGTACCGAATGTTGTATTGAGAAAGTTACTAGTATGGTATTTTGTACCAGATCAGTGATTCAACCTTCTCGTAGCGCGATAAAATCGCTCACCTTTCGGGATCTGTCGATCTAATGTACAATATTTTTGATTGGACGTGCCGGTATTATAGAATTTCTTAAACCATGGGTTGAATAGAATATAGAAACCCCATTTGGAAGATTTAGAAGGGAAAAAAAAAAACGGGTCAAAAAGAAAGTCGGCAACAGCAACAAGGTTACAGGCTGGCTTAAAGGAGGAAGAAGAAGAAGAAGGGGAAGGAATGAATGTTGACCAGACTACACCATCTGAGTCTGAGGCTCTGATTGAGGCCAAGGAAATATATAAACAACAAGAAGACGAAGAAGGGGAAATTACTAAATAAATGAAATAATAATAATAATAATAATAATAATAATAATAATAATAATAATAATTCTACAGTATCATTTATAGTGGAAAAGTAAAACTGCATCCCCATTCAAATTTTTGTGTCCTTAGAGTGATTTGCGGGAGCTGATGTGGCTCCGCATTTAGGCGGGATTTTTCCTCTTCCCTTCGTGGAACCGCAAAAATCCATCTTCGTTTCCTTTTTCTTTCCCACGACAAATTCGTTTCTCCGATTTCTCTTCTCCCCTGGGCCAAAATTGTTTCATGAGTCCTTTTCTGCCTCCATCCCGGAAAACCCATTTCTGCGAATCATCACTCCAATTCCCCGGCTCCACTCCTCTCTGTCGAAGAACATACTACTCACATTCATTGATTCGTTTATTCTCTCTGTGGCACCGTCAGGAACCCCCTTCGAGGAGAAATCGATCTTTTAGTTTTGCTGGTGGGTTTCCCTTCGTATGTATGACCTTGATGTCTTTGATTCTTTCGAATCTCTCCCTCTTTTTCTCGATCTCACTTACTCTCTCTCCTTGTCTGCGGTAACAGAATGCCCCCGCGATGAGAACGGCGGCGGGTACTAATAGGGTCTTTTAGGGTTTTATCTTTTGCCTTTTATCTTCGCTGCACCACGGTGACAAAGGGTTTAACGGTGTCCAGAGTTAAGGGATAACTATACGCTTCGCAGGTTAGTTTTGTGATAACTGGTTTTCTTAACAACTGCCACCGACCGACTACCGAATGCTGATCGGTTTGATAGTGAATTTGATTTTTTTGCTGAATGAGTTTCTCCTCATGATTTCCTGTTTTCGTCAATTTTGTCAAGGGGCATTCAATTCGATAGCACCAAGCATCTCGCCGGCAGATAACTGATTCTTGCATGCTTAACTTTGCAACCTAGGAGATCTACTACTATAATCGAACATCAACAGTTATGATGTCAGCGCCAGTTGCATTAAAAGTCCTCAGGTAAGCTTTCATCATTCTGGATTTTTGTCTTAGCATGCATTTGTTAGCTTTTGTTCTTAACAATTTGGGGGTAGCCTAATACTAATAAGGGTTTTTACTTATTAGTTATTACACAATTTCATGTTGTTGGTTTAATATTTTGGGTGCCGTTAGTTTAACTTATCCCAGGTGTGTGGTGTGGAATTGTAATTTCAGATTGTGTAGCCTTAAATCATTCGTCAAGTGCAGTTAATAATAGCCTAAATATGAATGTTCCCCTTACTTTTGTTCGTTTGTCATCGCGTCTGTGTGAAATTGTGATTTCATTGGTTTAAGTCGTTTATTGCAGTGTGTCATTGTGACTGTCTGCTTGTTGTTTACTAATTGCAACTAGAAGTAAATGCATTACAGAGATTTTAGGAACAGAAGGGAATTATATGGTCCTTTAGCACACCATGGCTTACACAATTTAATATTTATAGTCTGAGACTTAAGATTATTTGTTATGTTTGTTGTTGTGAGCTATCCTACTTTAGCTGCTAACTTAGTTGGTTATTCCTTTCGTTCATTCAATAGAAAATATGATGTTGATTTTCATAAACATGCTCTGTAGTTAAATAACCATTTGGTTTCCTTTTGTGATTCCTTAAGATTGAGGAGGAAGAAAGAAAACTTGAGGGCACAATTTCAGAGGTCGAGTAACAGAGTGCAGAAGTAAA